CAGACAGTACGAACTATTCCTTTTATTTTTTATTGATTCAATTACTCTGGCCTTCAAATTATAAATCGCCCTTTTGTGTTTCTTTCATTATCTTTATTAATAGATATTTCAACTTTCTGTAGATTGGATCTTCTTGTCAAAATTTCTACAATACCAGAGTTTTTCAGGTATAGAGAGTAGGAACTCTTATCTTATTATACTCTTGTCATACGTATGATTTATTCAGTTATTCTGATCTTTATGCTGTAAATGGATCATTATTCTTTTTCATCATCTTTATTATTAGATACTTCAACTCGCTGTGGATTAGGACTCTTTTAACAATATCACAGTCTATGGTTTTGACTTGGTAATGTCGTATATTCATAATTCTTGAGTCTACTTCTATTGCTACCAGGAATGGATTTCGCCATCTTCATCTTAACTCCAGGCAATTTGTTTTCCTCTAAAGAATTCGTTAAGTGTACTACTCGTATTATCAGGTTTTTAAATAGCGAAGCCAAGTCATCTCATCCATTATGCTAAGACAAAGCAAAGATAGTCTAATTGTTTGATAGCTGCTTCAGTTCATAACTATAGCCACATAATTACAATTTTTTGTCACAGTTATCAACGAACTATTGCCAACTGTATGCCAACAAATTACTTCAAAATGGTTGAGTACTGTACGACATCCCATCAGTAGAAACACCGATATGCAAACTATTTAAAATCATAGAGGGAATCACCAATATGGTTATTAACGATTTATGGACTAACCGCGATGACTGTAAGATCGCTAGAACCTTATGCCCTAGTTTGAACAAAAATAAAACGAAAAACCATTTAGGCTTCAGCAAACCTGCAGTTCGTGTACTTACTGGAGTGCTAACAGTGCATTGTGTTATTGCGTCTATGCTCTGACGGTGGCGAATTCCAACAAGTGGATTATGCAGGAGTTGCCAAGACGAGGAAGAATCCATCAACCACTTCCTGTGTTTCTGTTCAAGACTGCAGATAAGGCGACTTTAATGTCTTGGGGATCATTTTTTCACAGGTCTGGAAGAGATAACGAAAGTAAACTTATGATCTCCTTAACATCTTTTGGAAAACCAAATGGTTTAATAAGGATAGAAGACAACAAAGGTTAGCAACTCACCGCTCCCGGCATACTCTTTGAGGGCATCACAATGGGCAATATATGCCACCGATTGAAAGTGCTGATAACTATCAGTACGCGTCTAACCTAACCAAATCAAAGACATCTCATGGGGAACATTTGAAAGATGTACAACACACCAAATATGGTAGCAAGGTCCAATGTATTATATTGAGAAAAACTTTCAGTCGAAGTTCCCAATAGCTTATATACAGATTAACTTTCGATACCACACTAATGTGTAATAACGTCTGCCGGTAGCATAATATCTTTTTTATTATAATATTTCTTTTCAATATAACCATTTCTTGTGTATAATTTTTTTTCTGAATTTTTCCTTAACTTAATTACCTTTGCACGGCAGCACTTAATTGTCATCATGCATGTTGTCTTAGGTTTCCTACAGCGAACTCTTAATGTGTGTCTTACGTATTAAGCCGGTCTTGTGATGCAAAACAGGAATTGTTTCGCATTTATTTAATGTTTTTATGTCTAATAAATATTTTATGGCAAATAAATGTTACTTTATCCAAAATATCTCTTAATAGTTTAATCGTAATAACTCATATTAATTGAATTTAATTATTCAAATTGGTTTTTAATAATCACCTCGAAGCGTATATATATATGTATATATATGAGTATATTAGTTCGAAACTATGTTTAATAGCATAAGCGATGTCGGTATATTTGAAAACTGGAAAACATTTGTACAGTATCTATGCACATCTATGCAGTTATCTTATATTTCTATTTCAAACAGATTCCTTTAATACAAAAACCCAAAGTTTGTTTCTCATAAGAGTTGCTGATAGTTTTCTGAAGTCATGTAGAACCGATTTCACAGCCAATGTAGATATTGAAACAAGTGTACTAGTAAATACTATGTATCACTGCAGTTGCCTTACGTTTCTATTTTCATAGAAATTTTCATAGATTATCTAAACTCTAGAACCAATAGATAATCTCTTGTAAGAGTCACTGACAGTTTTTAATACCTATGGTAGGTATGGTAGCTATGGAGAAGCAATTTTTAAATGAAATGAATAAACTCCGATGGAAAGCTAAAGATAAGCTATACTGGTAGTTCTGGAGCAACTCTATTCTTGATTTTAAGAGTACAGGAACGAATTCAAAACGAAACGACACTAATTGGTACACGATGCTAAAAACCGTGAATATTGGAAATATCTATTAATAGATGCTAAACATTTCTATAGTTCTTTAAAATTTCTGTTTACAATAGATAACCCAATTAATAGTTAGTTTCTTGTAAGACCCACTGATAGTTTTCACTAACCTTCAATATTTACTTTGCTTTGAAGACGAAAGGAATAAAAACGAAACGAAAGCGAATGGGCAATAATGCTAGAACGTTTGCATATAAGAAGAGATCTACCAGTAGACATTACATAGATCTACATTTATCTAACATTTCTGTTTTTGATGGACTGCCCAAATAACCAGATTGTATTCATGGAGGAGCGGTCTCAGTACACCTTACAGATTCTTCAGTCTTTAAATATTTTTCTTTATATATGAATACAAATAAATACATGCAAAGAACTAAACCAATATTAAAAATCTTCATTTCAGAAACCGCTATGGGTGTATCAAAGAAGACACAAGATAAATCCGGCTATGAATATGCATTAGCTGTTATGAAAATGTGTGACATATTGCACATGCGTCACCGTAGTCTATTTCTGCGCAATGAGTTTCTATTTACACTCACCAAGCACTACCAGAATCAAGGCAAACTACTTGGCATCATACATGGTCTGACTACAAAAGTCATCAAAAGAAAGAAGGAAGCCTTCGCGAAAGGAACACGTGGCTCTTTAGCATTAAATGACTTAGAAAAACCGATTGAAGAAAAAAACCAGCAAAAATCCAATATTGTTGAGGAAGAGAAAACTGAAAAGGAAACAACTGTGGCAGGATTATCGTTTGGTCAAGCGGAAGGTTTGAAAGATGATTTAGATGTTGATTACAATGATGTGGGTGAAAAGAAACGCTTGGCATTCCTCGATTTAATGCTGGAAAGTGCACAAAATGGTGTGGGATTAACCGATACAGAAATCAAAGAACAAGTAGATACCATTATGTTTGAGGGACATGACACAACAGCAGCCGGTTCATCATTTTTTCTCTCGCTTATGGGTATACACCAAGGTATACAGGATAGAGTTATAGCAGAATTGGACGAAATATTTGGTAATTCAGATAGACCTGCTACCTTTCAAGATACTTTAGAGATGAAATATTTGGAACGATGTCTAATGGAAACGTTACGTATGTATCCACCCGTGCCGTTGATTGCACGAGAGATACATGAAGACTTAAAATTACCTTCAGCTAACTATGTCATACCTAAAGGTGCAACAGTTACTGTCACTACAATAAAATTGCATCGCAATCCGAATATTTATCCTAATCCAAATATATTCGATCCAGATAATTTCTTACCAGAACGTCAAGCAAATCGACATTATTATGCATTCGTACCATTCTCGGCTGGACCAAGAAGTTGTGTGGGTAAGGCATAATCAATTTAAAATTTATTTACGAAACTATTTACGTGGTACTCTTTCTTTTTAGGTCGTAAATATGCAATGTTGAAGCTTAAAATTTTACTATCCACAATTTTGAGACATTATCGTGTTTATTCAGATTTAACAGAAGCCGATTTTAGACTTCAAGCCGACATCATTTTGAAACGTGAAGAAGGTTTCCGTGTGCGTCTTAAGCCTAGAAAAACACTACACACAGCAAAATAGATTATAATATATAATTTTTTTGTGCATTTAATCACATTTTTTTAATTTAAATAAAGCAAATAATATATCTTGTTATAAATCAATAATAGTGTTCTTCTGAAATTATTTTAATTACTTTAAGGTTTATTAAAAAAGATTAATTTTTGAATTAAAACGTCTTGAAGTAGTAAGAATTGAATTATACTTAAAATATCTTAAATTATAAAAGCGATTAGGGAAAGATTTTGGTTCAAAGTTTGAAATATAATCTTTTTATAGGTAGGAACAGAATTATGTTCAGATACTGGTATATAATGTTTTAATTGATTGCAAAAAAAAACATATTGGCAAATAAATGTATTATTTAAGCATTTTAACATTCATTTAAAATGTAATTGCAAATTCTGGAAGTTTTATAATAACTTATCCCACTATAGTTAAAATAGTTAATATTAATTAAATTAGGTTTTGGTTGTTTCCACTGGCATAAATTGATTTATGTATGTAAAAGAACTTTTATATATCAGAAAGTATTGTGAAAGTTCTAGGAGAGCTTTTGTTTGTTTACATTTGAGTTGATATCCAACTGAAATAAATCCTTATGATATTGTAATATATATTTGATGTATAAAGTGATTTATATATTTTTATATATCAGTTATTTATTTATTCTTACTTCAGACTTGTTGATTTTTCGATCATTTCCCTTTTTGGAAATATATTTTGCAATATTGCATTTGACATTTTTTACATAATTTTCCTTTATTTTAGTTAAAAAGCAACGCAGCTCTTTGTACGGTTAATCAAAATTCATTAGTGACCTATATCATACAGACGAAATAAATAATTCTATACATCACACCTAATGCTAGTAAGAAAATTGCAACACCGCCCTCTATATGTGATACAATGATTGTATGATCAAAATACACTATATCAATTAATATATCACTAAATTAATAAAGAAGAAATATAAAAATAAGACAAAGCTAATCTAATTGAATTTATGCAAAATATAAAGAATTGTAATAAAAAAAATTAAAATTTTCCTTTTTTTACGCCTTCTTCTTATGCCTTTTTCTTACAGCGGCTAATGATATGCCAGCAGCCACGAACATATGTTCTAGTGTTTGCATATGCAAACAGTGAAAGTGACACATCAACAAAACAATTTTAAACAAATTTGTGAATATTTTTGGAGAACATGTCTGCGATAGAAGCATTGAGAGAAAAGATTGCTGAATTGAAACAGGAGCTAGAACAAATTAAAAATGATGCGCCTGCCTCCCGAGATCGTATCGAGAAAATGTCCGCTGAGGTAGTTGACTCTAACCCTTATAGTAGGCTCATGGCCCTACAACGTATGGGAATAGTGAAAGAATACGAACAGATAAGAGACAAAACCGTAGCTGTAGTGGGTGTGGGTGGTGTTGGCAGTGTGACCGCAGACATGTTAACAAGGTTAATTGTTGTGTTTATTAATTATCCTGAATAACTTTATTTAGAATTAACTTTCAGGTGTGGTATTGGCAAACTTATTTTATTTGATTATGACAAAGTTGAGCTAGCAAATATGAATCGATTATTTTTTACACCTGATCAAGCTGGCTTATCTAAGGTGGAAGCAGCAGCACGTACACTTACATTTATCAATCCCGATGTGCAAATTGAAACGCATAATTATAACATAACAACAGTGGAATCGTTTGATAAATTTCTAAATACAATAGCAACAGGTGGCAAAGAAGATAACAAGCCAGTTGATCTAGTCCTGAGTTGTGTTGATAATTTTGAGGCCCGCATGGCTATCAATACAGCTTGTAACGAACTGGGATTGTACTGGTTTGAGTCTGGAGTATCGGAAAATGCTGTTTCTGGGCATATACAATTCATAAGACCGGGTGAAACAGCTTGCTTTGCCTGTGCGCCACCCTTAGTAGTTGCAGAAAATATTGATGAACGTACACTGAAAAGAGAGGGTGTTTGTGCGGCATCATTACCGACTACCATGGGCATAACGGCGGGTATGCTGGTGCAAAACACACTAAAATATTTACTTAATTTTGGAGAAGTGTCCAATTATCTGGGCTATAATGCAATGAATGACTTTTTTCCTCGTATGACACTGAAACCGAATTCACAATGCGATGATCGACAGTGTCAAGAGAGACAGAAGGAATATCAAGCACGGCCGAAACCAGTAGTGGAAGAGAGTGTTGTGGAAGAGGCAGGTCCTTTACACGAAGCAAATGAATGGGGGATTGAGTTGGTGGATGATTCACAGCCAGAATTGGATACGACGAATACAAGTGATGCAGTTGGAACAGGTTTGAAATTCGCTTATGAAGGTCCCGTAAAAAGTAGTGAAGCAGAAGAAACAACAAGTGTCGTTAATGATGAAGTAAACTTAGAAGATTTAATGGCTCAGATGAAGTCAATGTAAAATATTTTATTTTACTTCCAATTATTCCAATTTTTATTAAATATTGTTTTTATTTTGTTTAGTCTGTTTTTATTGTGCATTTTTGTAAATCTTTAAAAATTATTTTGATATATAAAATAAACATATTTTTATGCTTGCTTATTATAAAAACATTTAATAGTTGTATTATTTATAATATAAAGTAGCGTTTGATGTATGCACAAACTTTTAAATTCCCTATTAATAAATAATTTTGTTAGGTGTTAGTTAAGAAACTATAATAATTTAAACCGATTTCAAAATCGTTACTTAAATCTAAAATCTTGCTTAAGTATGAATTAATACTTAAGCATGACGGTTGTCGAACACATACTAGATGCTATAGTCCCTATTAGAAGTAGTGGTGTGCGGCGCTTAGTCGTCGTATTTTGTAATTCCTTTCATGACTCGTACAATATAGATCTACTTCAACACCAATTACAATTTAAGCATGACATAAGTCAGTGTTATTATTAAGTCTACGAAATTACGGTCAGTAATCCCGTAAGAGTTAAGTTACGACTATGAAATTTTAATTGCCTCTGTGTTTACACTTATAATTGTTGAACTTAATTAATACACTTTGCTATGGGTTCAGAATTAAAAATGGTTGTTGTTGTGGCACGTTAGGACCTGAAAGCAGATAATAGGTCTGTTCCACGAGCTACTTATAGTAACTTTGAGTAAACACTGTGTATACACAAGCGCGTTCCACCAGCAAATTTTCAAGTATTTTTGTGTAAATTTTACTTCCCTTTTACTTATGTTTTACTATGAGTAGCTCGTGGAACAGACCTAATATGTAAAGTTAATATGTAAGGTTTACAAGACAAATACATGGGTTAAGATGTAGATAGCTTTTGATTGAGGTAGGTGAAGCCATTTCGAGTAAATTGAGGTGAAGTAAATTGAAATTTCCTAGAGATTTTTTGCAGGCACTTATACAAATATTTATTTATTGCACTTATATATTATTTTTGGTTAAAAATTATCAAATTTTTTTATGTATTTATTAAACATTGTATAAAATTTTCATAATAGTAACATCTAATGTACTTAATTTTTATCTAATTTACCCTACTCGAAATTCTGGTAAATACCAACAATCTCTACCATACCGACATAATTTACTATTTCGCTAAATTTACCATCAATTTACTTGAACTTGCACACGGCCTGTTTCTTAAATGTTAACTTCGCTTAAGGTTTTTGTTAAGTAAAAATAACTATTTGATTATAATGATAAATATTAGTATGCAACTTAATTTTATACGCACACAGTAAACTAAAATCTATGCTTTAGTTATTATAATAAGCATTTCTTAATAAAATATAACATGCCTGCTTTTGCATTATATTGAACATAGCTAAAATAATTATCTGTCATTTCTCTCAGAAAAAAGTAGCGGCTAGTTTTGTTGTCGTCGTGTCGGAGTTCTAGTATTTTGCAAAAGAAATATTGTAAAAGTCAAAATATTGTCAAAATGACTAAAAAAGAAGATAAAAATCAATCAAACGAAGAAGTAAATATACATACATTAACGTTAAAAATATTAGTTGCATGAAATTATACAATGTATATAAGTGCTTAAAGCTTGTACACGTCATGTATGTATTTCAATGTATGTTTCTTACTTTTTAGGTGGTTAAAATTAATAAATGGGATGGCTCCGCAGTGAAGCATGCACTCGATGATGCAGTGAAAAATTGTTTATTTTCCGATCGTCCACAGCTTAAGGAACAATTTGGTTTGATAAACATGCGTTTGGCTCTCTGCACACTTGCAGTTGGTGTCGCAGTGCTTGCACACGCTTGGGACTTCACCCATCCCTTCCCGGAATCTCGTCCTGTATTGTTATTCAGTGTACTTGCTTATTTCGCACTCATGGGCGTATTAACCTTATACACTACATTCCGTGAAAAAGGCATATTTGCAGTGGCTATACAGAAGGATAACAATGGTGGCGAGCGCATCTGGGAAGCCAGTTCTGATATGAAAAAGTTCGATGATAAGTACATATTAACATTTACGATTAAGGACTCGAAAAAGATGCGTGAGGCAACTAGCACTAAGTCTTGCGCTAGTTTTATTGATGAAAACGGTGTCATTTTGGACAATTTAGTTGCACATGAAGTAAATCGTCTTTATAATTCAGTTTCAGCAGAGAAAAAGGAAAAATAGCTCAATGTGGACGAAACAAACTCAGAAAACATTGAAATTGGCGAAACAGTTTAATAAACAATTGATAAAGAAATTGGCTGTTTGCAAATAACAATACAATTTTTTCATTTATTTGGAATATTTTTAAGATTATTTCTTAAATTAACAAAAGAAAACTGATTTAATAAAACTATTTCAAATTTTTGCTATTGGCAAAATATTTCGTGAATTTATTTTTGTAAAGTAATTAAAATTTGCCGAGAAGTTATTTTAAATGTAATGACGACTATTTGATATTCCACCTATAACTTGCTTACTTACTGCCTCCTAAACTACTGCAGAGACCGGAATGACTTCACTATCGATCTAAATCATAATCTGTTAGACGCAGTTCTCATGAGATCATTGCACGATTATCCGATAATATTAATTTTTTTATCAACAAAAAGAAAAAACCCAATGATTTTACTGTAGTGCCTTGCTACGGTCATCCAGCGGATTCCACCGTAATGTTTGTATACTTCTGTTCTTTATAGGTCTTCTAAGTGTTTGGTAAGTCCACGCCCATTAACGTTTTATTGTTATTTATGTTGCTTGCGATTAGTAGATTACTTTCTATAAATCTGCATTGGATATTCTTTCTCCATGTTATTCTGCATATTCCTTGGCTCTTTTACTTAACTTTGTCTATTAGTTTTCTTATCAAAGTTGTTCGACTGGACCGGCATTTGAGATAGAATAAATATAATTCGCATTGGTACATATAAGTAACGAAGTAGGCATTGCCCCCACTACTTGGTTCTATTGTGGTTACTATATATTTTTGAATATGTCGTAGAATGGATACAAAACCAGGCGTTCCGTCAATTTCATTTATGTGTATTTCTTACCGAAGAAGCGACGTAGTTGCCACTTTGGGCGTTTTGAACGATTACCTGTAACTGGAATTATTACCCAATAAGTGAAATTTCAATAGCAATCGCTATTAGTGAGATACTATTTCACAGACTCAGCTAGACTTCTTTTACTTCAAATACGATATAATACCGTCAAGATACATTGCAGGCTAATACGACTAATCAGACAAAGTTAGTATATTTTTAAAGTGGATTAAAGTCCGATGAATGTTAGTATAACATATTCTTAAAAGCACCTGCATTAAATACTCAATCTTACTTATAAGTTGCCCTTCGGTAACTTAAATAAAAAAACCATTTTTTCCAATAATTGATATTTCTATTTATATTCTTTATTTTCAAACTTAATAATTCCACAATAAGATTCTTATATTCTTAGACAAAACATTTCGCAATATAGTGTTCCATCATTGGTTTTACAACTACATCGGTCATAAGCGTCAAATAAAAACATTTTAAATCGAATTTATACAGTAAATTATTCGTAACGAAAACCTTTACCATTTTATTCATAATACCAATTAAGCATTGCCTACAAATGAGAAAAAATAATATAAATTAAGCTTTACTTTTGAGCAAAAAATCATTCTTAGTGAAGAGTTCCCATTTGGGATTTACTGCAACACCATTCATACATGCTACGAAAAGTAAAATCTAAAATTTACTTATTTTTCCCGCTTGTGCGCTTTTTAGCAGCCACCTTAACCTCTTCAATGACTTTTGTGCTGCTCGGTTCAGAGACTTCAGTTACTTTCTTATCCTGTGTTTCTGTCAAACTTAGTACTTTCTGCACGTCCTTCATTAAAGTTTCAATACTAGGAAACTTTTGAGCACGTGGAGTGCGTTTTAAACCAGTCCAGATCTCCGTCCGATCTTCAACATTTTCAATTGGCTGCGCAGCAATTGCAATCTCAAATGCACCACGACGTGGCGGCCCATCAGCATTAAGTTGCAATTGCAATTGCACATTAGATCCATATGTGTTCTGTAGATGTTGTAGCAGATTATCATGCAATTCTACAGCACGTCGACGAAACACAGATCAGCTACGACAATGTTCAATATACAACACCGGTATATTTGCATCTAAGACAATTGATTCAACTTCAAGCTTGCTACGCTTCGCTGCTGCCTACATGAAAATAATCTTTAGAATCAGTTTTATAGATAAAATCTAAGAAATTACATTTGTTCCTGGCTTAGCATTTCTCTTACGTTTAGGAGGCATTTTCAAAAACCTTGCTTTCAGCGTCACGGAGTGAACTCAAATGCGCAGTTGTTCCCGCGTTTGGCACATGACAGATGTAATCACAGCGGATGTTGTAGTTAGTGTTTACAGCGGCTTTAAACTTTAGTTTTATATTGTTTACTATATTTTTAAACTTATTCCGAATATATATGAAATTTAGTTCGCATTTTGATGTGAATACAATAACATATGCATATTAATAGCGAAATAATAATTTTTTTTAACAAATACATATTTTAATTTTATTTATGTTATATGTTTATGCAAATTGATAAATAAAAACACCATAGTTCTTTTGAAGTAATTGTTTATATTGACATATTTGACTAATAAAATATCTGTTCGTTTTACTATTTGTTAATGTATATTAAATAATTTTAGAATTTCTCTTATTCTAAAACAAAAAAACAGCAGCTTAACAAATCAAATACATATATAATTACATATACATATATAATTATTGTAATATAAAATCTATATCCCTGTTTTCTCAAACAATTTATAAATAACGTGATGATGAAAATCGATGTTAATCTTTCATTATGAATGAGATTTAAAAATAAAACATTTCTCAGTTTTTATATATTAATGCCATGTTCCAAAAAATATTTAATAAATATATATATAATTTCAATTGAGAAAGGAATCCACGATTAAACGTCGTTTATATAAGTTGTAAAAATTGATTAAGAATGATACATTTGAGTCTTTATTTGTTTTATACTATTTAACATTTGTTTATAATACGTGGTTTTTTTTCAATTTAGATATCATACATTATTTGTATATTAAAAAACAATGTACATGTTATATACAGCACATTTATACTTTTCTTATACTAAATTTTTTTTATACATACTTTATATATTATCAAGTTGCCGAATAATCAATTTAATGTCATAATGAAAAAAAAAATTTAAATATTTTGATACTGTTTGACTCTTTTTTACTTTTATATTTGTTTAAAGTCGTTATCTAAAAAACTGTTAACAAAAAAAAAACAGAAATTTGAAGTATATTTTGCAAAGGAGTTTGTTTTGAAAGTCTGCAAACAAAAATTTTTTTTTCGGCATTCACATAGATTTTCTCGGTTATTTTTGGTAATTTTTAATAAAAATTTATTTTTTGTATATAACGTTATGCATAACGTCTGATTTGTAAATTACATTTGTATAAATTATTATTTATTATTTATCAATATAAATTATTTATGCAAAATCATTACAGCGGTTAACAGACGTCAAATTTCGGTAATTTCACCACGCACGTGCTAAACTCACCTAGTACATGTCATTTGTTTTTTGCTCTGTCTTGTTCTTGAACGAAAATTTTTTGCTTAATCTTAATAGCAGCGATATAAAGTGCGAGATTTTGCAAAATTTTCAATTAAAACTGTGGTCAAAAACGTTTTGCATTGCTGAGAAATATTTGTAAATATTGTAAATTGAATTTGTAAATAAAAATGGGAAATGTGCTGGCCTCTTCATCGAGCTCCAGTTCAACTCTGGATGCCGCCAAAGTTATAGTGCCGGAGCCAGCGAAGCCAGGATTTCCTACCGCTGTTAGCAGTACAAATGTTTCAGAAGACAAACTAGAAAATCCAGGAACAGTTGATGAAATACATAAAAAATGTAAAGGTCAGTATTGGTTAAATAGTGGGGTGGGGAAAAAAACATTGAACGAGTGATGACATAACCTTATAGCATGTGCACCGTTCATACGTTCTTATCAAATAATAAATATTATGGCTTCCAGATGTGCAAGCGTTAACGTTCGAAGGAGCGAGGATAATGTTAAATAAAGGACTTAGTAATCATTTTCAAGTATCCCATACTTTAAATATGTCCAGCACGCAACCGAGTGGCTATCGGTTTGGAGCTACCTACGTTGGAACAAAACAATTTACACCTTCAGAAGCATTTCCTGTCTTGTTGGGTGACATTGATCCTTCAGGAAATCTTAACGCTAATATTATACATCAGTTTACGCCGCAATTGCGCTGTAAATTTGCGATGCAGGTTCGTTTAATACAATTTTGTGGTAAACTGAGTTTCAATATTTACGATTTTCTATTTGCTATTTTAGATACAAGAATCCAAAGTGCTGGCTTGTCAAGCAGCAGGTGATTTTAAAGGCCAAGACTTCACAGCATCTGTTACATTAGGCAACCCTAATATTATAAATGGTTCAGGGGTAATAGTGGCGCATTATTTACAATCAATAACAAAGAGATTGGCGCTCGGTACTGAACTTGCATACCAATATGGTGGAAATGTACCTGGTGGACAAATAGCTGTAGTTTCGGCTATTGGACGCTACGCAACCGAAAATTATGTGTGGTCAGGCACAGCTGGTCCAGCTGGAGTGCATATATGTTATTATCAAAAAGCTAGCGATCAATTGCAAATTGGTGCTGAAGTCGAAACCAGTCCGCGAATGCAAGAATCAGTTGCAACAATCGCTTACCAAGTCGACATACCAAAAGCAGACTTAATTTTTAGAGGTAAGTTCTTAGTAAATTACCGTTGCTTAACTCAACGAAATATATAATCAACGAAATATAAATTTATAGGTTCATTTGATTCAAATTGGAATGTTGCTGGAGTACTCGAGAAACGATTGACCCCATTGCCATTTTCATTCGCGCTCAGTGGGCGACTTAATCATACCAAAAATCAATTCAGACTTGGCTGCGGTCTAATTATAGGCTAAACACCAACACCACAGATGCAAAACAAATATTTAAGAGAATTTTTTAAAGACTACGCTAGAGAGTATATTTCCAAATAATTGTACTTGTGCCATTAGGTTTATCATTTCATTCTTCGCGGGAGCTTGCAATAAGATTAAATTCTGCATTACCAATGAAATGGTATGCTTAATGACACTGGTTTTGCAATTGATTTGGAAATGTAGTTTAAGCGTAAACCAAACTAGTTCCATAATTCACTGACCTGTTTTGTTAGTTGCGTATAAGTTAAGTTTCAAGTACACATTTGAAATATTAGTTAAACCGTCAAGTATTGCATTTCCGCAAGGCTACGATGTGAACAACCAAAACAAATGAAAGCATTTAACAACTTAACAACTTAGCCCAGTGCAGACGCGCCAAATATTCGTTTTGTTTCTTCAAATTCTAATTCATTTGACCACTAAAATAGTTAACATTGCCTTTAAATATTTTTTAAATTGTAATTAAGTAAAAAACTTTAAAAATGTGCATTTTATTTAAAAAAAAACTTCCTAGCAAAATAAACGATTTGGTAAAGTGTGCAAAAGTAAGCCTGATTTTTTATTTTTTATTTGAATTTGATTTGCCTCCGTTCTATGTGTAATTTAAGTACAAACATGTTTTGCATTTATTTTTAAGTATGTGCACATTTTTTTTTAATTTTAGTGCGTGTATAACAGATTTAAGTATGTTTAGGTATTTTGCATGAGATGAACTACAGATATTGTAACGATACGGTAATTTAGTTTTTGTTTAAACTTACAAAAAAGTTTTGTAAAACAATTGTCTTGTTTTGACTACCGACCTCGATGTTGTAAAATAATAAAACCAAGATAATAACTATTAACTTTTGGAATGTAAAATAAAGTCAATTGTTATGTTCAACGGACCTTGTTTGAATTTATATGGTTTGGTTTGCATGTTGAAGACTACATTCATATTAATAATAATATAAAATATATATTTATGTCATTATAACACATATAACATACTTCTCTTTCGAAAACCAGGTTAGAAAAATTGTACTTTGGAACTGACAGTCATGCATTTTTAGATATATTGCAAAAATCCATCACAGCACTTTGATAATGGATTTTCGTAAATATCAATATTCGTAATTCGTGCACAGCCTATCCATAATAATAAATATCGATATCCTACGCTATTTTTCCCTCCGTCATATTTTACTGGAAAGATTAATTCTCGAGAAATCGAAAAATCTAAACCTCCTCACTTTTACCATTCCCGTATGATTTTAAACGTTCACATGGAAACTTTTAAGATGGCAGTAAGATATGGCTTACAACAACAACAACAACAACAGGATACTACTATATATTATGTAGATCTAATCAAATGGGTTGCGTTAGAGAATAACAATGGCTAAGATCAAAGTGTAGTATCTGTTTTTAACTGATAACTGTTAACTGATTTTTGGAACTTGTCTGAGTAGTTAGAGTAAAGGCAAGAAGAAGTTGAGCTTCAATCGGATCCAATACTTATTCACCTCATGGTTGTTGTTCCCTATGTTAGTTGATCAGACCACTGTGTGCTGATACACAACTGACATATGAGCCGAATAACTCTTATGTGCAACCAACGATTAAACTACAGGGTTCCAAGAACGGCCGGAGCCACTTGTCGTCAGCGATAACCAAGTGCCGTTCGACACACTTCAAAAGAACTTCACAAGCAGGTCCCAGCGGGTTACAACAACAACAACATTAAATTACAGTATGTGACTAATCTCACTATATGCCAATTATATGAATTATATGGATTCGAATTGCGAAGGAAGAGACATCTCCTATTGTTGTAGAAGGAAAAGTAATTGGGAAGATATACGTATAAGAACGTATGCATAAAAGGAAACTAGAATATATAAAAATGAATGCTAAAACAAGTGGGTGAGGAGTCACTCAAGCAAGAGGAAGATAAGACAGAGCAAAATTGTACATAAAAAAGAAAATATATGTAAGAATGATAGAATGTAGAATAATAAAATGATATTAAGAGAGTGCAAAGGTTAGAAGGAATCTTATTAGAACGGCTGAGTTTAAAGAGATATGAAGTATACGAATAATGTATAAATAAGAGACCAAAAAGTGTGGAATAATAGAAAATGGTATGTATTGAGAGAAGAAAGAAAGAAGGAAAAGATGGAGTAAACCTGAAAAAAGAGAGAAGAGAAAGAAGAAAAGCAAGTAAAGAAGAAATAGAAGAAAAATAGACTAAGATGGTATAAATAAGGTAAGATAATGTAAGAAAATAATAATAATCCAAGGGAAGGCATTAAAAAATTGGAGAGAAATAATAGGCGTAAGCAATAAAGAAAAATAGATGAAGACAATAGGAAATGGGTGAACAAAGAAAGACAGGAAACATAATTATAATAGAGAGAGTCGAATTTGAAGAACTTCCTTTTATTAAAGTGGAAATAAATTCAAATAAAAGACGTTATGCCGGTGTAAGTTTTAAAGTTACAGCGTAGTGTTTCACAGTTTGAAAAGTATTACACAAATACATTAACATAGTGTAGACACAAACCAAAAAAATAGCAATTTTTCCTATTTGTATACACATTGTGTGTAAATATCAACCTGTGCGAATAGTAATTATGAAGTACACAAGCTAAGAATTCCAAGAATCTACGCACCACTAGATGAACTCACATAAAATAGCAAATATCTAAACTAATAGGGGGCTTCGGGCATTATTAGCGAAAAAGAACGATTAAAAATTAATGATTGAAAAATATTTTAAACTTGGCAGATTTAATTAATTGCTTTAATCTTATATATACAAGGATATGAGAGTTGAAAACATAAAAGAAATATATTAGGAATAGAGCTCTCAAACTATATGATACTGTGAATACTCTACAGAATGCAGAGTTAAACTGTTTAGAATTTATCAATTCTTTTGTTAATAGTGGTAGATATACTGAACTTGTAATGCTGATATCATAAAAAAGCAATTCACTTTAGTTCAATAATCAAAAGTGAAGACACTTACTATTGAATTCTTTAAGTAATTGCTACCATAAGAAAGTCAAAGTGGATTAAACACTATAGGATGACAACACAACACTTGAACTTGCTGTCAATTAACCACAAGTACCGTGTTTCCGTGATTGTATAGAGACAGTGAAGCGGGTAATCTGTTAGCAACCTCAGTTTCTTCCTACTGAAAATATAAGACTGAATATAATGAATATAAATATGACTCTTTGTAAATATAAGACTGAGCTAGTAGCTTACCTGAGAGGTTGATTATTTTGCATCTCGAGTACATAATCTGTTAGCAATTTCAGTTTCTTCCTACTGAAAAATAAAGCTCTTTGTTAATATAAGACTGACTTAGTAGCTTATCTGAGAGGTTAACTATTCTTCACTTTAAATACATTATCATTTAACAACCTAAGTTTCTTCCTACTGAAAAGTGAATCGAATCTCTTTGTAATTATAAGGCTGAACTAGTAGCTTACCTGAGAGATTAACTATTCTTCACCATAAATTAATATGACTATAAATTATTCCATATCACTTTTTAACTTGAAAATTAAAGTTAAATTCTTATTTAATCCTTGCAAAAACTTTAAGTGTTCAAACGCATCTAAGTAATCTCTTAAGCGTCTCCGTTTAAGAATTTCATTCATAAATTATTTAAAGCATTTTCCAAAATAATTTTATGCTTATTTATTTATATTTTCTAGAAGTTGGCCCGGAATAGACAATTTATTTCTCTTTTTATTTTTGCATATAAAAAACTTTAACTTTGCAGTAGTAAAGATGCTTTTATGTTATTGAATCTAAGTTTTTGTGCCATTCTGTGAAGGTTGCCAGTAACATTGCAAATGTTAAATATCAAATAAAATTGATGAATCATCAAAGTAACATTGGAACACCCACAAAAAAGGTTGAATACTGTTAAAGGACGCATGATGAAGTGCTGCGGTTTCGGCCTGAGGCCTACTTAATGCGAATACATTTGTATTTGCAAAACGCAGTGCGGAACGCTAGGCTCTGTGTCCGGAATGCTGAATACATAATGGATACATCGGTTGAAAACACTATCAGAGACGAGGTTAAAAATCGATGAAGTGGAATAATATTTCGCATATAAAATTGCATTTTAAGCGCACGAAAAGTATTTCCAGCTGATGGCAGATTGAAGCGCTTACACTGAAACGCTTAAAGCATTTCGGGCTTTTTAAATTATTAAGTGTTGAACTATAAATGCTCGTAAAATGTATGTTCGAGTGCACGCAATTAATGGATTGTTATTATTCCGACCACTGTTTCATTTTTAAAGTAAATTATTTTTAATTATTGAGCTCCTTTAATGTATTGAAGTTATTATACTGTGAGCAGCGACCATGGAAACAAAATTTAATTTAGTGTAATTATATTAAAGTCATTGCATACAAATTAGTAAGAAAACTCGAGAAACCATGCAGAAGAAGTAAGAAGAAATGAGAATATTGAGTAAAAACTTTGAAACTACTAACGTATTCGATTGGTAAATCTGGGGCAACTTCTTTAATCGAGATTCACTTTAAGTGCAATTTTCATTTTTGATTGTAAATCTAGAGCGAAATGTATAACACTTAAGACTAACTTATAACACTCTAGATATTTTGCCAGAGTAGCAAAATTACCCTGATATTCACAGCTGTTTTAAATGACTTGACAGATAAAGTCTGATTTCATTTGATATAAGTATATATGAAAAATATAAATAAGTTCACTAACACACTACAAAAAAGTTAGATTGGGCAACAAAATTTGACAGATCGAGAGTAAATCTAAATTGAATCCAGATTTAACAATCGAAAACGCCATAGGTTAATACTAATCTGATTAATAAAACAGTACATTTTGTTGACAGGCAGTAACTTAAATAAGTCTCCTTTCTGCATTAATGTCCTGATACTAATAACGAATTACAACTTAGCGCGTTGCATATTCCCTGGGTATATCGTCTTCACTAGAGATTTTATTAGAGGAAGATATTTTGAATAACTTTTGAAATTACACTATTATTATGTTGAAGCTCTTTGAGCCAGTTCACTTGAGCACTTTTACTCTTTCTTAACTCGAGGTATTTTTAGAACCCCTCTTTACGCCTTGACTGGATTACTGTTTATCACTTCATCAGACTAAGTAATGATTGATCAAATTAGACTATATGTCAATATATTGTTAATGGACAGAAATGACGGAGATTTGTTGCATACCGCGGGGCCTACACCAGTCTTCTTAACACTATACTTTAATATGTTTGAAGTCCGTTAAAAGTAGTCGCGGTAAGCTCTTCTTTATAGTTTTTGTAGTATATCTTATAAATTTGTTTTGATATCTTTTTAGTTGACAGTATAAAAACATTACTTAAATGTGCTTGAAAACTTAAAGACGTCTACTTGCATCAAGAACATGAAGTACTAGAGACTGCATATAGCACTAACATGGTAAAATCAAAATGTGATTATATTTATATAGTAATCTAATTTCAGGCGCTTATAGACCTATATTACAGCTAGAAGTAGTTG